AACATGCAGGTTCTAGAATGAAGACATCAGGTAGCTAAAACAAAACAGTGCTGAATGAAATGCCTATCTCTCTACTGTTTGTTTGTTTGTTTTTCCCCCACTAGGCTGTTCAAAGAATGTATTGCTTTGGGTTAGTTTTTTTTAATTCAAAGATTACAGTAAAATTCTTCATTATTTTGACTAGTGTGATTCTGCACATGGCTTTAATAATTTAAGATCCAAACTCTTTGTTACTTTTTTCTACATCTTCTGCTTCAGAAACACAGGTTATTTTTAAAGAGAAAACTTTGCCAGAAATGTAAAAACCTTCTGTCTCTTGCAGCTTATTTGAATCAGTTTATTAATTAATTATAATTACCTGATTTAGTTACACTAGGCACAGATTCCGACATAGAGACTGTATTTCCGCAGAACAAACTTAAATTCAGTGGACAAGCCTGGATTATTTCAACACAAGGTTTACATTGTCCAAACAGCACTCATCTGTTTCAGTGGTTTACTTCAATATGCCTAAACAAATCTCACTGCTGCAGTTCTTGCTTCCTAATGAGTCAAGGCCTTACATCACACGCAGAAAGTTCACTGGGGTTGCTCTGGGCTGGCAATTTTTTTATCCCTTTGAAACATTTTATGTAAGTAAAAAAAAAAAAAAAAATTAAAAAAAAAAAAGGCATAGCTGAAGGATAACAGTAACTCCAGGATTTGCAGAAAAATGCACAGAAGACATCTACTTTTATATCTTGAGGAAGAGGGCTCAGAGGCAGTAAATGACGGTTTGCTTGCTTCATTGTGGGCTGTCTAAGGGGTCCTTCCCAAATTGTTTTCACCAGGAATCCTTATCAGAATTTTTTTCTTCTTTACTGACTAAAAGCCACCATCTGTGAAAGCACATCCTTCTTATACACAGTTGAAATTTTTACAGAGCGTGTGGAATACACAACCTCCAGGAACTGCCAAACAGTCATCCTCACACATTTGAAAAATGGGTTAAGGAAAAGAACAACTCAGTGGATTCAAGTTACTACATATCTGTGTGATTTTCAAAATATGAAGAAAAGGCCATCATTTTCCAACTATGCATATGCAAACAGATAACTACTGTATTTAAATATGCCAATATCAGAATTTAATAGTGTACAAATAAAAACTGATTAGAATAGCCAGTTAGTTTTAAATTTAATCCAGCATGTGGGTAGCTCTAATGAAGTCAAAATTGCTTCACTGTCTTGAAATTTATTGTATGTATTGTATGTTCATTTCTGGGGAGATATGTTGAGCAGACATCTTGAACTCTATTATAGATACACTTTTTAAATAAGACAGCAAGGGCATGTGGATTTTTATTTTTAAAGAACATCTCATACTATTTTCTGAGTTAGAACAAGTCCTTTTTCTGAGTAAGGGTGTAAGAGAAGAATTATGGAATTAGTAATCTTATGTGTGCCCACACCTGCTGGCTAAAGTGCTACAGCAGAGTGCAGTTCATAGTGTTTTAGAAGCTGCATGTGAATGCCTCCCCCAGCTTGTCTCCAAAATCTTCAGGCAGGAAAAAGTATGAATTAACTTTTGAACAGTATCTGTTACAGAAGATGACAATTTTAAATTGTAATGAAGGTGAAATGTTTATTACACTAATAACAAAATACTTAGGGTGAGGTTTTTAGCTGAAATTCAAAACAACAGTAAAAAATATATTACTACTTTAAGACAAATGTTGCCAGTTCCTTCATGAAGGAATTACCAGTGGGAAGCTCTGTCACAAACACACAAGGAAAGGAGGATTAAAAGAATCAGATTCAAACCTGAGGAAATTCTAACAGAACCAGTTGCATGGCCCCAAGTAAAGCCTGTCCCACAATTTCCCTTAGAAGAGTGGAAATTATCTGTAGAAATATTCCTCCTCATCTAGCAACCAAGAATCCACAGATAAGTTTAAACATGCATGCATAGTGAAAAACATGCATCTGAAAGAAAACCAGCTTTATGAAGCATTAAGCAATAGCTGTGAATGATGAACTAAAACATGCACGCAATCAAGAGACCATAATACACATCTGTCTCAGGTCTAAAAGATACTATTGCTCAGAACAATTCCTGCAACATTTGCCCATTTACAAGCCCAGGTCCATCTCATCACTGATAAAGCAGTGAAAACAAGTAACTAAAACTCACTTACTGCTATCATGTTCACTATGTCTTTATCACTGGTAACCCTCATCTTGAAAGTGCAAATGCCTTGCTTCTGAGAGTGGAAGACAAGATACTTCCAGTTGGCAATTGGATGTTCTGGGGTAACAATGTTGTTTATATACATGTATTGCAACTCAGATTTCTTGTGCTGGGTACCTTGCTGTTCAGGTGCCCTGGACAAATGGATATTTCAGTACTGCAGCATTTGTTTCTTGGTTTCCCACCCAGAAACAACAGACAATTGTCTCCTGGTTCTGCATAGGTGCTATGAGAATCAGTCATTCCTCTCTGTGAAAGCACAGAAATCAGAAATGTGTATAGCACAGGATTTCACAGTCTGATAAATACTGCTAGAGAATGTAAATTCAATTCTCAGGACTAAAAGCTACAAACACAGCAACACTGCCCCTTCCCTCTACACACCAGCCAAAACAGTGCAGCAGCTCCCTCATGTTCACATTCTCCAGTCATAAGCATTTGCTAGTTTGGTAAGAACTAATTCAAGTAACTTTAGGATTTAAAATTACCTCATCTACATTTAGTTCTACTGCAGGTTACTGTCTCATACACACATACACCTTTCCGCTGGTTTTGCACAGTCCAGAGCATGGCTTTTATTCATGGCTGAATTGGCACCTAAATTACATTGCTGGAATCTGCATTCTTGTGTGCAGTAACGCATATATACCATTTTATTTTACTGATGGAAAAAGTCATCTCTGGGACAGCAGTAGCTTCTTTAACCAGAGAGCTGAATTTACTACCAGTGCTCTCCTAATTCCTCAAGAAGCCCGCAAACAAATAAGTTGTGACTGGATATTAAGGAGGAAATAATTCTGCACATACATGTCTTCCATAGATGTAGCTTTTTTCTGAATCACGTATGAGATATATAAGCTAATTTCTGCACATATTTGCAAACTAAGTTCTCTTCAAGAACTGAGAAGTGCAACTTGCTCCACACTCATTCCCACTATCAATACTGGAGTTTGTGGATGTGCATTTTGCACTAATGCACACATCCATGATGCTGAAATCTCTATTAAATAATTAATAGCGTCACAACTTGCATTCACGTAATATTACACGCTGGCTTTCAGGAACTACATTGCCTATGATTCTATTTTTGTTCACAAAATGTTTGTTATTGATGGTGTGCTGGAGGGGGCTCATCAAATTGCTAATGCAACTATTAAAGCTATCAAATTATCAATTTTGAGGGATCAATTCAAAGCACATTAAGATAAGCAGAAATCCAAAGTAAACAAGGACGTCTCTTCCCTTCAGTGACTCTCTTAACAGGTTTGGAATGCTGAACTCTATTCTTCCTGACAATATTAACCCCTTGTTTGGACGACCCCCACTGGCCATACACTTCACTAGCTATTTTGGGGGCTCACTAAATGTTCTGTTTTGTCGTTTGGAATTGCAAGGGTGGATGGAGCAGGTGTGGGAGGGGAAGATGAGGAAGAGCACTGGGTTAGTGTTTATTTTGAGAGGCTGGGGCAGAGACTGCTTCCTGATAATATGCTTATTTTTATTCACATTGTCAACTATGTTTTCCCATGAACAAATACTTAAACTTGAGAGGAAGTGTTCCAGAAACATATATCAGGATAAGTAAAGTGTTCACTTCCTTTCCCCTTATTATGAGAAAGCAATTTGGTTACATGAGAAAGTAAATAGATTCCCTAGGGATGCCTGGGAGGGGGGGGAAGGAGTCATTCTTGCAGGAAATCCATTCTCAAAAGCAGTTGCAGCATGTCAGTGTGTTAGATGATCTTTAGAAGCTTCATATGTGACTACAATAAATGAGTATGTCAGAGATAGGGTTTCCTTCATTCAGGGAAAAATCACATTTGCATTTTGCAATCTTAATTAAAATATTTTCCTTTCAATAAATTTTAGAAGCACAGTATGGTCCTATTTGCATTATTACAACATACATTTAATACATATGGCAAAATATAAATTAATTTCTTATTGCTTCTGAACATACAATAGTCATTTGAATTCACTGGCCTTTTTAGTCTGAATTTCATTGACTGCTGGCAAATTTGAGCAGGAAGTTGCACTATATCATTTCCTGAGGTTCCTTTACAACCTCAATTTTCCTGTGTTCCTAACTAAATTCAGGGGATGTATTTGGTTGGGGTTTTTTTGTTTGTTTGTTTTTGTTTTGTTTTTTTAACTTATTCTTCCTTAACAAACAGCAGAGATCTAGCTCAGTACAGAAGAAGCTGGGTATGTGATTTGGCGAAAGCATTATTAATAATGTGCCTGTAATTCAGGCTACCAACAGCCCAACCTATATCCAGACTGCACAGGCCAGAAAGGAGGGATGCCTGATTGCATTAACTAAAAAAAAAGGAAATTGAAGTGAGAGAAACTTTTTCCTCATCCTAGGATTTCATACATTTCCCTTGTCTGCAGTTGCTCTGCTTAAGTATTCATTCTTCAAAACTTGACTTAGCAGCTTCTATTGCTCCGATGCTTCATTCAAAAGCTGGCCGTTAGGCCAAATGCTGTTATGTGTAGAAGCCACCCACTGACCAAGTGTGGAACAACACATATCCCTTATCCATTGGTTTTTATTTGGTGAAATAGCCACATGAGGTTGAGTAATCCTGTAAGTGAAAGGATTAATCCTAGGACTCTCAGTTACTACTTCCAGTGCAAAGCTCTTGAAGTTATAGGTGCTGTAACTTGAAAACACATGGAAGAAAGCAGTTGGACAGAACAACAGTGGCAACAGCAACCCAAAGCAAAGGAAATCAGTTGTTCTTTCATTTCTCTTCAAGGATACTTACCTCACTGGAGAAAATAATATTCATATCCATTTTTAACTGCTTGATTAGGATCAGAATTCCATTAAAGATATTTCATGTCTTTTACCATGGCTTTCCTGAAGGGAAAAGTAGAGAGGGAAAAGAAGACCATAAACCTTACAGTTTTCAACCTAAAGTTGTAAAAAAAAGCCAAACAAAAACAAAAGCCAAAGATAACATTTATCATATTTTATATTGTAGAGCAACACTGCTTACTCAACAAAACAGTCTTTCAAAGTTTCAAACATAGGTAAACTGAGTAGCTGTACTTTTCACTCCAATGCACTGGAAAAATCATGGGTACAGATGAGATTTTGAGCATACCTGGCAGTTGATACACCTCTCTTAGATTTTTTTTTTTTTTAAAAAAAAGCTTGTTTTTGAATAGTTGTCTTCCAGATGTGGATATAAAAAGCACTCTGTGCATTACAACCAATCACTGCTGCATCAGGGATTTGTCAACTAGTTATTCATAGGCCAGCTAACAGACCAACCACCACCTTATTACCACCTTCCACAAGGCAACAAGATTGTCTTAAAACATGAAGTTGTAGTCTGATTTTATTTATTTATTTATTTATTTGGTATCTCTTCCACCTTTAGTCCCAAAGGAAATTAATTAGAGAAGTGTTACTATGGGGGTAAATTATTGTGGTGAGGTTCTCAACAGTGTTGAGGTTTTCCAAGAACCTAAGGTAGGAGCAACACTGATTTTTACCCCAATGCTGTCCTGAAAGCAAAGCTCAACGGGGTAATCAGCTTTAGAGGTTCCATGCCAGCTTGAAAATGCAGATTCTTCAGCTGAAGAGGCCTGCTTAGATTTCCTAGGCACTTCCCTCCTTATGTGAATAATCAGAGTTGAATTTAGGGCTGAAATCAGCTTCCCACAGAAATTCCTACCTTCAGCAGATAATACCCTGCAAAGACAACAGTGGAAGCGAGCACAGAAAATGAGGTATCACCTCATTCCACCCTGCGAAACAGGCAATACGCTTACACTAGAATCAAGGGCACAATCTTTATACTGTATCCTTCCAAAAGGATACTACTTCTGCCACAGAAGGAGCAGCTTTGCTAGTCAGCCTTAAGTATTTCAGTTGCCAAGACTGCATTACCCTTCCTTAGCTGCTGTTTCACGCAGCTATGATTGTTAAGAATCTTCTCAGCATGTTACCTACTGTCTTCACCCTGACACGAGGGCAGGCCCAAACAGCCTCCACATCTCAACCTTAGCAATCACAGCCTTACCACACAAACCCCAAACAACCAACAAAGTAGAGACGTTAGCACACATGGGAGTCTCAAACTGTTTAAACACCTATTCATGTGATACTGAGACATTCATAACTTTTGTTTCCTCATTACTGATGCCAGATTCAAAGTTATTTCCATCTTTTTTTCCACAGTTCTCTCTCTCAAAAAAAAGATTTGATACACCTGATCATAAATTCACAACTCTCTCTCTTTCCATTTCACTGAGATATCAGGCGTTTCAACCAGTATTTCTCTGCTTTGCCCTCACTAAAATCCACAGATACTGACTCCATTGACAGATTAAGATCTTCCTCACTTTCAGGCAGATGTGCAAAGTGTTTCCACTAGCTCCATTCATAGTTTTTCTCCAGAAGTCATTAATTATTTACACTGCTGTCCTGTTAAAGGCCACAGTGAGACTCTTCTGCTTGCTGGGAGATTTTTTAATTGTGTATAAACAGGCAGAATGTAGTTAAACCTGATTTTCATCATTACTATGGAAAAAGCTTGAAAGTTCCAGTTCACTTAAAAAAAGGAAGAAAAGATTCTGGTCTCTCTCTTCTCACCCCTCAATCTTACTTCTACTTTATGGTTTTAAAGATAGTTGAGAACATAAAAGAAAGGTACTCTTAATTAGCACTGTGCTTCCTAGTTACAAGTCTAACTTAGCAAAGATCTTTGCTACAGTGGTAGTGGGGGCAGATCATCTCAGAAATAGAGCAGCTAAATGACACATGTAACTTCCTTATCTGAGTCTTAAGGAGCTCACAGCTGAAGAGATCTGGCTTGAAGCATCTCTTATCCTGCACTTCTGTACTACAGAGCATCTATTCTGACCACAGCAGCACAGTTCCTTCCCTCCCTGATGTGCTCCTCAGTCAGGCAGGAAACAGGCTGTCACCTGGACTGACAGCACAGGTCTTGCAGGAGCACTGTTGCTGTCTGCAGGACATGCAGTACAGACATAAACTGAGGGAAAATAAAGCCAGCTGGAACAAACAGTAACTCAGTGAGGGATGTACTTTCATTGCCTAATTCTCTAAGGTGGTGAATTTTTGTTGAGCTGTCAAGAAGCAGAGGAGGCTGTTGCAGAGGGCTGGCAGGCAATACAGCCACAGCACAAGCCAGGCCCAGCAGGAACACAAATGAGACCACGTAGAATGCTGGGCTCCCTGGATGGATCCTCAGGGCCAGTGCCTCCTCTGTGCAGGAGTCATTTCCCTAATGACATAGGAAAAAACTTACGGAGAGTGCAGTCAAATTTACTCCTTAAACGCTCCCAGTTGCCCCTTTGGATTGTTCAGTAGCCTATGCTGATACAACCTTTTTTCTTCTCCAGTTTTTATTTTTAAAAAGATTACTAACAAACACTACTGCAGAACTTTATCCTCTCAAACTACATAAAAGCTTATTTTTTCCAGCCTGTCACTTCTACCTATTTACTTCATGTTTCCATAACGCCAAATTTTTTCAGTATATCTGCCTGAAAGCTGTTCAGCTTCAAGGCATTATGAGGAAAAAAAATAAATGCTCATAAACATGATGTTTCTACTTTAATATACTTCAAACTTTTGCCTGTAAGATTGCCAGTACGGAGAAAGTTCACATAAAACTAAGAGCAGAAGCTCAGTTTGCTGTTACAATCTCTGCTGTGACACACCTCACTTACTGTACATTACATGGTTGAACAGACATTAGAAATCTTACTTCCCATCGATACCTAACTCAACATTTCCGCTGAATACACGTTCAAGCCTTTAAAGCTCCAGAACTCCAGTATAATGTGAATGTTTCACCTTTCCTTTCACCACCAGTTTTCACAAATATGCCCTTACTCGAGGTCTCCTCTGAGATGAAGATTTAGATAATGTGTGATCTAAATACTTTATTTGGCAGTCAGGTTCTAAAAGAAAATGGGGTACCACCAATGCCACTAACACACACCACGAGCAGTATGCACAGTGACATGGTCAAATAAGTACTCAACAAAAGCACGCGTGCTGAAGCTCTTAATTTCCTACACTCCCCACTTGGAGAAAGCGTTGCCCTTTTCTCATTCCTCTTTCGAGAGCTGTGGGATTGCTGGGTGAGGTGCAGCCCACACTGCTCCCCCAGCAGCCCCCTCCTGCCGCTCCTGCAGGGCCGACCCGCTCAACTCTTACTGCGGTTCTGCTTCCCCACACGTGTTTGCACTCCGCACCCATTTCAAGTGTTGTTTGTGTAACGCACAGACCCATTAATAATTTAAGATTCAACAGGAACCCAGGGGCAGGAACATTCCATATTTTTGCTCAGGCGATAGATGCTACTTCACTGGTACGTCAACTCCATTTATCTCTGTGCATGCTACGTTAATTCACTAAATGGCTTTTCAAACAAAGTCCATTCACAGAGTGCCCGGAGAATCTGCGTGAGAAGAAACTTCAGTTTTTGCAGTAAACGCGCCAGATCGATATTCAGAAAGAAAAACATGCACAGATTTTAACTTTGCCCACCGAGTTTTCAAAACAAGGGAGGCAGCCAGAGCAAAGCCCTCCTCGCGAACAAATGAAAGTCATATCAGACGTACCACGAAACGCCTCTGCGCGGTACTGACAGCGCGCTCGCCCGGCAAAAGACCATAACAAATACCTGTAGCGGCAATTAGCAGCCCCGCACCGGGACCGCCGGCACGCTGGAGGAGCGCTGCGCGGGAAGGGCGCGGGACGGCGACGCGGCCGGGCAGGTGCCCCCCCCCCGCGCCGGGCAGCCTGGCAGCCCCTCGCCCGCCTCAGCCGCTCCTTCCTCCGCGGCGGCTGCCGCCTCGTTCCCGCCTCGTTCCCGGCGCGGCGCAGTAGCCGCCCGACCTCCCCCGAACCCGCCGGGCACACCGCAGGAGCCGTACGGCTCCCGAGCGTGGCACGTCCCTCCTCATCCGCCCCGCGGGACAGCGGCCGAGCCCGCGCGTCTCACCTGAGCGGGAAGCGCGAGGGGAAGTGACAGCCGCCGCCCCCCGCAGCGCTCGGTGCGGCGCGGCACGGCCCGCCCTGCCCGGCCCGGCGCCGCGGGCGGCCCAACCAAGCAACCAACCAGCCTCCTGGGGCGGGCTGCGCCGCGCCGTCATGTGAGCGCGCTCGAGCACGCGGTGCCGTTACAGCCGTTGCGGCGCGCCGCGCTCTGTGGCGTTTCGCGCCTCGCAGGGCACAGCGCAGCCCTGAGCGGTCTTTTCATCCCCCACGTCGAGGCAGCGCCTCGCCTCCTTCCTGCCTCGTTTCCAGCTATTGAGCGGCTGCCCAGGCGGGAAATCCTGACCCGAGCCAGGCGTAATATTCATGCTGAATCTCGGCAGGAGACCAATTATAAGTCTGTTTTTCTGCTTTTTCCTCTGATCCGTGATGCACTAACTGAACTCGTTAAGGAGAGCAGTGCAGGCAAGCCATAGGTAACCCAGCAGTTATGTACAGTATGCAAGAGGGTTGTGGTGCACATTGCTAACATGTTTAGAGCTCAGGTACAAAATTCTGGTACAAAAGGAACTTTCTCCACTTGCTTGATCTCCCTGATCAGCCCTGGATCCGTGTGTGGTTTGGGGGCAGTTTGAGGAGCAGAGTGCTGAGCCCTGCTGCACCTGCGGGAGCTTCACCTGCTGCAGTGACATCGCTGTTGGTTTGGAGGGTTACTGACAGCATGGCTCAGGTAGGCTGAGAAAAACCTGGTTCAGGGCCAAGAGGCAACTCAAGCTAGCAGTACAATGGAGACGCATGCCAAATTTGCTGTCAAATTGCTCTTCTGTTTGAGTGGCAGAAGTTAGCCACGATTCTGTTTAGAACTAAAGAATCTAACCCCCAAACCATGTAAATGAGAGCGAAAGTTGAGTTACTGAATTTACTCTGCTTTTGATGCTTTCTATTTCATGTGCTTTCCTGTGGAGTCATGAAGGCTTGGAGGGCTGTACCTGCTGTATAAGTGTCATGCATGCTGTGTCAGTATGCTACACTGTGCAGCAGCGTATGTTGGCCTGTATGGAGCTGCAGGCAGCCTTGGCTAGTCTGCTTGCAACACATATATCATTGCCTTAGGGTACTGGCAAGCACCAGCATACACAGTGCTTCAACTGTGAGAAGAATGTAGGAGAACAATCATAGGACTCTAGGAACTGGGTCTTGAAAATAAATGACACTCACCACTGTAAGCCCCTCACTATGGGGACAGAAAGAAAAGATGTTAGTAAGTTGGCTATATTTTAAGATTTTGTATAAATCCTGAAAGAAAATGACCCTTGTTGGATGTGTGGTATCAAGGGAAAAGATAGGTTACTGGGACAGAGTTACTGTCTGGACTGGAAGGATTCTTTTGCTTGGTAAGAGTTAATTCAGAGTTCTGGTAGCCCATATCCAGAAACCCAGTAAATAAGCTTCCACTGTGCTTCCACAGCCATCTGACTGCAGAAGTGTGTAGTTGTGCAATTCCAATTAGTACAAATTCTGTCTAAATTCCTGTAATTCCTGCTGAAAACAGTATCATTTGCAAGGCAATCAGAGCAGACAGCAGAGCTCACGAGGTTATCGTCTGTGTCTGTTCAGAAGATGGCCTCAAACCCTGTATTGGCTAATATTTATCTCTTAGCTCTGCTAAGAAAACCCATGGAAGATAAAAGTCAACCCATGCAGCAGGTGATATAATTTGCTTTAAATCAGCTGCTTTTGGTGAATGCTGAAGAACTTGTGTCCCTTCCATGCCTTTCCTTTGCACTTCACAATGAATTTAGGCTGTGTGAGAGGTGCTTGACTGACTGTCCTGAAAATTGAACTCCAGATTAGGTCCAGAGCAAGCAAGCAGGCTTCTCAGTGCTACCAGGGAGAAAACTTTGTGAGGCTGAGGGTAGTTCATTCATTTACACAAGCAAAGATGGGATTTCCTGGGGACAGTGACTGACTGTTCACCTTAAGAGTTAATGGAAAAATATAGCTGGATCAAGTAACTTGATGAATATTAAAAAAAATAAATAAATAAAATAAAATAATAAAAAAAAATCCACTGTAAATTGCAGAAACCAACTTGCAGAAAATCTTACTATTTGGGTCTGTCCATCAACTGTTACAAAAGCTGTCTGTCTTTGCAAAAGATTTTGCATCACAGGGATGAAGTAAGAGACAGTATAATTTAAATAATCATAGAAAATGCTTAAAGACTACACTGTAAGCTTAAAAAATGATTTATTAATCACAGATTGCATGATATATCAGGATATAATGATAAAGTAAATGCATAGGTTGCTCCAAAAGTAATGCCTCCTACTTTTTTCTGTGAAAACTGCAATAAATACAAAGAGCACAATAACACTATTTGAGAGCAAATTCTTACCTACAAAACTAGTTACAGCTATTACCTATGTTTTTTTGTCAGCAAGGAACAGGAGGCTGCATTTAATACTTGTCAAAATCTGTATCAAAGAAGGTGACCCACTGTCACTGTCTCCACTGCTGAAATGCAGCATGCACCACCTCGCTGTGCTCATATCCACTAGTTGATATCCATAACCGTTCAGAAAGTGTTGATGAATGTCAGTAGGTGCCATTTTTTTTCCACATGGAAGAATTCAATTCCACACCTTTGCTTCATCTGCTCTTCCATGTCCAGACGTCCTTTGTCTGACTGCCCCTCTGCTGCCATCTGTTACACAACAACATAATGTAACAAACTGGTGGGAAGATTCAACTGTCCTACCACCATTTGCCTATGACAAACAGGGCCAACAGAATAAAATAGAAAATGTTACTTTCAGAGCAATCCTTGTAGTAGCAGGAATTGTCTTTTGAGACACACCAACTTTTCATGGATGTTACAGGCAGTGTCATTTGATAAGTTTCTAATAATTCCCTCAAATATCAGGTAAATTAATGAAAAAAACTGATAAAAAATAAAACAGGTAAAAATTACAAAAGAAAGCTAAATATACTTTGATACCACAGTGTCAAGATGCCAAAAGTTTGCTAGATTGTTCTAGCTAACAGAAATACAAAGGTTATGAGAAGGAAGCTTTGGAATCTGTATTTGCCTATCAGTTAATGGAAAATATTTTTGTAAGTTGTCTGAAACTGGCATTGCAGTTAATTTTTAAACTGTCAAGTTCTTTCTTCACTACCGTATAGTTACTGGGTATAGGATATCTTACATTAAAACTATGTGCTGGATACTAAAACTACAAGTTCAATTCAAAAAAAGCAATAAGTTAGTAATCCATCTTTTTCTAACATCTGATTATTCTGTTTCAGCCTTAAAGTACTATTAAGCAGTGCTGTGGAAAGCTAATAATCTTTACAGCATCCTCACTGAGTTTTCACCAACTTTAATTTAATATCTGTAATACTTTTTGCAGACAAATTCATTTATACTTTTAAGATACAGCTTCTTTTTGTGCAAAATTGAAAGCCCTGAATTTATAAGAAGGCATAGAGAGTGTGATACTATCCTTCAAAATAGGCATGGGATAGATGAGCAGAAGCCATGTAAATTCTGCATTTCAAGGAATGGATTACTAAGTATTTTATTAAATTTCCTGTCAAGAATAGTTAGCCGACAGTTGTGTAACTTTATTGATAGTATCTTGAACTCAGACACAAGACAAACTGATACCAGTCATGATGTCAGGACTGTGATTACATTGCTCCCATTCACAGCAGATTCTGTGGTGACAAAAATATTTATGGTTGTGAGTCTTTTCATTGCTGCACCATTGTAGATGAACTGCAGTTATGTTATTCTGACTACAGCAGCTTCAGATGAGTCATGTTTTCCATTATAAATCTGAGATAATAGTTTCAGAGAGGTTTTTGTTCTGTAGAAAAGCGATATAAAGTCTGTTCTGTGTGATTGGTGCATTTGTCCTCTTATTCAGCACCCGCTAAGCAAGTAGGATGGAGCTACACTGCCTAAGCTAACACTTGTGTTCCAACAGTGTCCAGAAGCATGATACCTCACACGGGTAACACAGCACAGGCCTTTGTGCTGTGCTGGAGTAGAAGGAAAGGAGTGTTCGTCTACTCAGTTGTGCAAACTGGGCTGTGATAACTGGGGAATTCATATGGGAGGTAATAATGAGTTGGTTAGGGAAGTAAAGCCCCTGTGTTTTCCAGCTGGACTTGGAAGACAGTGGCTCATTGTGCTACAGTTCACTGAGAAGCTTTTAATATTTTACTCTCTTTTGCCACAAAGGTACTCTCAGAATTACAGCTGAGGTCATCATAGCCTTTTACTACCAAATCAGTAATAGGCTTCAGACAGAGGTATCCCACTGCTGAGTATTCTCTGACTGTGCCCATAACATCCCACAAGCTGTGCCCAGATCCTGCTTACATTTCCATCCCCTAATATATGATGTTAGGGTAGTTGGAATTCCTGCTCTCCACATCTCTGTGAGGCGAAGATTTTACTGGCCGTAACTCCCAAAAGACATCAGAATCACAGTGATTCATCTATTCAGGACTTTCAGAGCCTTTCTTAGAAAGCCCTATGATGTCTTGGAGCTGTAATTTAACAAATCATTCCAAAGAGGTGAAATATGTGATTCTTTCTTACAAGGTTTCAGCCAGACCATATGTAAAACACTGCATTGTTTGGTGAGCAGACCAACAGCTGAATGAAACCTCAGAAGGCATGTTATAAAATTTTACTGAAGATTTAGATCATCTTTATAAGCTGATATAATATTCTAACGCTGAAGCAATGACCACAGTGAATCATTT